GTCAACCGTGATCATGGGAGCTGTAAAGGGCCCGAAACGTCGGTTTGTTTGAAAAAACAAATATACGCGATTTAAATCCGGAAAAATAGTTCCATTTCCTATGTGTAACAATCGCGAAAACCTAAGAACTCGACAAATAGTGTTAGTCAGGAAATTTTGATTCTGATGATGAGCCTCTCGATTTGGTGGCAGAAAATAAGTCGTCTTTCGGCATCACCCGGGCGTAATTTTTAAAGTAATCGCCCTTCAACATGACTCTTGAATTTGTACTTTTTCAATATGCAAAATACACCATTTTGCTTTTTGATATTCCAATTTCTTCTTCACCTTCCCTCACTGAATTCTTCGGGTTCGCCTCAAAGTAAATCAAAATGTCGAGTTCATCATTGTTAACGTTTATCATTTGGTGCTGTGGCTGCGGTACGCGACGATGAAATCGTCCTAATTTTTTCAAATGATCCATCAAACTTTTCAAAATAAATCGAGATGGTGTTTCTCTATCGGTATACTGGTACATTGACTTACAATTATATGGACGTCGGGTCCGCGCTAAAAAGTGTCCGCACTTGTAAGGCGCTAAAATCGTATACAGAGCGCGACACTCCGCTTTAGTCTTCATTTGTTCTACGGACAGCGCGACACTGCGATGACATAACAATTTAAATTTCGAATAGGTTGACTTGGGACATTTTTTTCGTGGTTTTTGTATTAGACCCGTCGTCCATTTATTTGTAAGTCAATGCCTTGGTAAGTAAATTCACACAACAATTGCAATGCAAGAAATCGAAAAAGAAATTCACTAAAAAAAAACAAAAGAATACATAGACGTTTGAAAATGGAACACATTTTCAAATTATTATTTTATAGTCAGCCAGCCGCTTTTTGACTGTGAACTTCTTTGTGAATTTCCTTATTATTTTATAATATTAATTTTATAAGTTTGTACTCATTAGTAACACTTTGAAATGATAATGTATGTTGTTATGAGCACGGCATAGTCAGAGAAAAAGTTGTCCATTTTTAACCGACTTCAAAAAAGGAGGAGGTTCTCAATTCGACCGTATGTTCTTTTTTTTTGTTTTCTTTTTTCTTTTTTTTTGTATATATGTTACGCGATAACTCCGGTATTTGTGAACCGATTTTCATTATTCTTTTTTTGTTGGAAAGGGGGTACTTCCATAGTGGTCCCATTTTATTTTGAAGGAAATCATCCACCTCTAAGGGTGGCTGTTCACGCATGAAGATTCATTTTTATAAATAGCGCCTAACTTTAATTTAGGAGCAATTACTTTTAGCAATTATTTAGTTGACTTTGCTATTTATCCAACTCAAGGCGTTTTTCCCTCGATATGCTTTAAGTAGTGTCGTAGTGATACCTATTTTTACTATCTCCAGTATCAAGTCCTGTATAGTGCCGAACTAGGGGATATTTCAATGAAACTTAGCAAATAGACGTAATTCCACGTACTTTTGAGGTCGGTTTTTTAGTACTCTGTAGTGAGATTATAGTGAACAAAATTTCAAATTAAAGTGAAATTTCATAGTCTTCCTTTTATTTAAGATGTTATGTTATTTGGAAGAAAACAATCCTTATGATTGAGTCTTTCGATCGGTATAATAAAATTACAGGTGGTTTTTTCTTTCTCCAAGTGGCATAGCCGTGAGACACCTGTATATATAAAGCTGGCCCATCAGACCACACAAGTTTAGTTCGTTTTTTACTTTTGATCATTGAACACTTTTAATTCTTTTAAAAATAGGAAAAGAAAAAAGTAGTTTAATCATTAAGTACATCGTAACTGTCATAAACTTGTATTTTATTATTAAAACAATCATAAATTTACAGGCGTCCCGCCTTAGAGAAAAAAAATAAAGGTACGTACGTATGTTATTCCGCTATTATTATTGTTGTTATTGAAAACCCAAGAGCTCGTATAATTTTTGCTGGATTGTTTGTTTTTGGACAATTAAGTATGTTTGAATATTATATTAAAACGAAGCACTGTATGAAGTTGAGGATATTGTACAAAAATGACTAATCAGATACTACGTATTTTTCCAAAACAGCTGTGCAATCTGAAAAGCAGGGAATAGGGTTCAACGCAAGTTAATGAAGAAAACCAAAGAGAGCTATATAAAACTGTTCGGTGAAATACTTACATGTACTAAGAATTCCAATTAGAAAGTTACGATGCATTATAGCATTAAGAGTATCAATATTTGAAGTGCTGCCACTTTATCTATTTCTGCCGCCAAGCATTCATGTCAGCGTCACTGTGTTCCGGTCTTGAAGGGTTAAGGGTGCTGAAGAAATTACAGGCACATGAGACTTGTCAACTTTATGTCTCAGGGTGACGGGCGCAGTGGCAGTGCGTGTCAGATCTTTGCGATTTAAAGAGCTGAGTGACACTGCAACTGTTATGGACCGGCGTGTACTTACCAACAGGCGCACGACTTGTTCGTCCCGTCACTAGATATTAATAAAAAAAATAGTTATTTGTTATGCAACGCTGCAAAGTTGTTGTTTGACGCGAGTGTTTGTATTCAAACCAGAGCAAGCGAAGGAAGTTAAGATTAAGATAAAAAAATAGATTCCTGAGCGCATCGAAGGTTTCAAGGCACGAGACGCAAAACAAATTTGCTGTCAACGGCCATTTGGTGCCGCTCGCAATCAAGGGTTTCGTCTGCCCATGTAAACTATTAGGATATCCTTACGCTACTTTTGGAGGAAATTAGGAAAGTTATCCGCTCACGCGATGCGCTCATCCTACCGCAAAATGGCGGCTATTTGGTTTCGCAAATTAGAAAAGGATTCAGTTTAAATACAAGTTTTAAAAAATAAAAATTATTATTCTGCATTGCTAAATAAATACCCTCCGTACTACAACAAAAACATCTCAAATAAAATGCAGTAATACACCGCAAAAAGCACTAATGAAATTTTTGGTGTACTTGGGTAAATATGATAATATTCCGTTTGAGTGGTTCTAACGTTTACCATGAAATTACTCCTTAAAGTATAGTTTATAAACAATTATATTCAGGGTAAACTTGAAAAACGCTACTTACGGTATGTTTTCAATAAATAAACACGGAAAGTACCAGCCCAAACAATAACACACACGATTGTCGTGACGTATTTTTGAAGTTGTTTATTTTTTTAAATGACAGACCCAGGCATAAAAAACTTTATGGTTTGCTAGAGTAGTTACCGAAATAGCAATTAGTATTAGTTCTTTTACCTGTTATAACTTCGATATCCGATAAATCGGTATAAAATCATCACCGGCACCTCTAGGTGTGGTATGCGTCTACGGCTGCATGTATCGCGTGAGCGGCTATAGTAATTACTTAGTCAGGTATACTCAGGCAACTACACGGTTCCGTTGATAGCAATGAGAATATTTTATGCCTCCAACCAATTAATTGAAAACACATACGTCAATTGATGAACAAACACGTAAAAAATATGTTGATTATGCTTATTGTTAAACAACTTGCCGTGACGAATATTTTTCATATATATACTCAGCGTAAATGTTATTAAAATCTAAAGCTTCAAAATGCTGAGTTCCACAAGGGTGGTCCATTTCTTCGGTGTCGTCTTGGTGGTAAGAATTTTATTCTATTTTCATTTATTGTTTAAAACTGTAACGTATGTCCGTACATTAGAGCTCTTATATCAACAAGTATATTTCCCCTGCTGTGCACGAGTCTAATGGTCTACATAGGTAGACCATTAGACTCTCCTAGAGAGGAGAGGTGACATTAGGCACTGTAATGATATTCGTGTTGATCCAAACAGACACACTAGTTTACTTTGCTTTAGTCTGACAATTGTCAAAATAGTTTCGGTTTTTCGCATGTCGCTTTTTTAACCTGTTGTTTTGACTATAAACTTGACCTTCCAGGTTTTTTTATTACATCGAAAGACGAAGCGAATCTAAGAGTGGATACACGCGGCGATTTTTAGCAATGTTGCTTTAGCAATAAAATACTGGATCCCAAACTGGTGGTACGGAGAAACCATCTTCCCTGTTGAAATAAGGATGTTTTTTATTTATTTCAATGGCCTCTCCCAGCGTCCTGGGTAGATATCGGACTTCTTTTACAAGGACCTGGGGTTTGGTGAACTTGATTGAATGTGTAGGTTTATCCATGACATGCTCCCAGACTGCAGACTTGTTTACGCGACAGTGTTTGACATCAACTATATGATCTTTGACGCAGGTACAAATACTTAGTTTGTTCAATGCAAGAGAGATCACCCTCGCAGTCAAACTTTTTCCTTTATTTTTGATGGTACGATTTTTTTGAGAGTTCTTAGTTGTAACTTGTATGTATGGTCAAGATGACATTTGAATGTTCGCCCGTAGCTGCATAGGCCGTATCCTATAATAGATTCACCAAGTGTTTTATACAGTAATAGTCTTGTTTGAAAGGGAATTTTATTTTTGATTATTGAAAATGTTGCCATAATTGCTTATGTGATCGTGTCTCCTGTTTTCAGACGCTCGCTCTGGTGGCAGAAAATGAAGGTATGTAATTATTTACATGTAAAACGGACCATTAAAACACGACTCTTATCGCTTCTTTACGTAGGTAATTTATTCTCCAACGTGGTAGTAGGTATTGAAATGAAAATCTCTTGCTTGCATTGTTGCTTAAAGTTTCGTTTATCATGAGCACTGAATACAGTTAGAGAATAATATTTTTGTTACGCCTTATAAAAATCTAACAACTTTCTTTTGTTGTCAGTGAGAGCTGCACCACGACCTTGGAACGACATTGCTATGTGTTCTGAGCCGAACCCGATCCCTGAACCATGTAATGAACCAAAAGTTCCTGAATCGTACCCAGGACCGAAAGAGCCAGAACCAAAAGTTCCTGAACCGAGTCCTGAACCGTGTCCTGGACCGATAGTTCCTGAACCGAAAGCCCCCGAACCGAAAGTTCCTGAACCGAGTCCTGAACCGAAAGTTCC